TCTTGAAGGCCTAGTTAAATCGATCAAGAAGACAAGAAAAGTGGATTTTGATATATTTTTCATGCGAAAACACATAAAGTTCACTGCCCTTTCAGAGTGATCATCTCGGAGAATGAATCCTGGCAACAGTGCACTGCGGTCTTCCTACAAACAAATTTGATGTTGATATCTTTTGACGACCCATTTTCGGTGAAAAAGTCGGAACAAGTGCTAGATTTTTTTGCAGGCAAAGAAAACACAAATTTTTTAGCATTTTCAATCAATGTTAAAGATCTTTATTAAACCCCCCGCAGGCCCAGTAGATGATGTGTGTGTCCGAAAGTATCGACAAAGTATGAGCGGTTCAATTTCAAAATACTGCTGGTGTGTCGAGTGAACAGTTTTAAGAGCTCCTTTATTTTTATCTTTACTCGACTTATGCGACGTGGAATGAAGATACTGCGAAATGAAAGGGAGGGATATGTTGAGGTTCCTGCATAGCCTCGTACTTGAGCGACCTGTTTTTAGCAAAACGTAATAAGGTCCTTGACAAGCGTGTGAAGCACACTGGTATGATTGCTGTTTTTAGATTTGTAGATGACTACCTGATCATTGGCAATAATGATCATAACACGCGGTTGTGACAGAAACTTTAACCATGTTCTTGACAGTGTTATCTCCCCTTGTGCTGACGCATGAAGTACCAAATGACAATTTCATAAGATTTCTTGACCTCGGGCTGTTTTTTTCGCCAGCAGGCGAAAAATACAGCCCGATGTGCTCTACATGCATGCCATTTCGCATAGCTTGCGAAGGATAGCAAGAAAGGCTGGTGCGGATGTAGTGTTTTCTGCTACCGAACGGTTGCAAGGAATGTGCAAAAAGGTTAATGCAGACAGCTGCGAGAAACGGGACTGTAAGATGAAGCATCGGGAAAAATTTGTGAACTGTTGTCGTGGTGTTGTCTATGGCACTCCTTTGACTTCTGATTGCGTGTACATTGGCAAATCTGAGAGGTGTGTGAACGAAAGACTTAGGGAACACAAGTACAACGTAGAAAAAGCTATATCTGGTCATTTGACACTTCACTCTCAGAGGTGTGGTTGTGTCCCTGTGTTTCAAAACACCCTTATTCTTTTTAGGGCCCCTGACAAAACTACGAGTGAAATCACTGAAGCCTTTGAAATGGATAAGATGAAAGATAAGTGTGTGAGTGTGGCTTCGATAGCTTTGTAAGCTAAAAAAAAGAAGTATCTAGAATCTTCACTTTGACGTTGGCAAGTGCAGATTGTCACAATCGATGATGTCGCGTGCATGAAGCGTGCTGTATTTTAACATGATATGTTCCAGGTTTTACCGGTCTACTGTTACTGTATAAAAAGCATGTGTGATCGCAAATAAAACATTAGTCGCAAGTTAGCACTGTGTGTGTGTGCGTCTCTCTTTTTGTGTCCTTGTCGTGGTGCGCTATACCCTTATAACTGATAAATAAGAAACAGGGTGTAGTAACTGGTCCTTTCTCCTTGATATTTAAAGTGATCTCGACAAGATTTATAGTGATGGGGGAGTACGTATTTACATTTGACAAGCTGTTTGACATGTACAATTGTCGAGGTGAAAAGCCCCACGAAGACATACCGGAATACTCAAATACTATGACTTCTCGGTGAAGTAACAATCACTGTACAGCAATGTTAGCAAAATCTGCCCATTGTATGGCCTTTAAACTTAGGCACCCTAAATACGCTATCTTAGAAGTATACTAGAATATATAGCACTACAAGTTCAAACAAAAACAAATTAAATCAAGGATCTGGTCTATTACACCAACTGAATTACTGTAATCAATACAGGCAGCAAATTAAGGCTGCAATCCAAGTACAGTTATACTTTAGAAGTACCCTTCAGCATTGTAGAGGCTACTGGACCCATCAGCTAGTAGGAAGAGCGACTCGCCCCTCCACATGTATTTACCAGCTCTGTGTCGTCTGCTCACAGTCTTCACGGCATCTCCTCGCTGAATTGTATACACGCTCATTGCAGTTGATATAGCTGATTTAACTTAAAGATACAGCAAAAGTCTGAAATGAAGCAACTACACCAGGTCACCAACTTTGCCTCATTCAAAAGATTTGATAGCTTGGAGATGTAACATTATAGAGACTCGCTCAACGTCATTAGTATGGTATAGACAAGTGTCAGATCGGTGACTGGGTGTTAAATACACTCAAGCCTTGATATATCAAACTTGGATATAATAAAATAACAATTATAATGACGTAAATGAAAGCTGGTCTTGCCCTAAATATAGTTAGGACTATACCTTTATAACAAATTTTTGGATATAACAAAGTCATGTTCAAGTAAGGTGCAACTTTGTTATAATGCCACGTTCCATTTCCCAAGTTTTGTTATCGTCCCAAAACAATACACAATTCTCAGCGCAAACCGCGCCTGCAGTTTTCGAGAAGCTTCCGGACTGTAGTAGATCATTTCGATAAGATCCCCCCTAGTCTGCGAACTGTACAGATTATTCTGGAACCTACGCCACCGCCAGCGATAACGCTAGAACATTCCATGGCAAGAGTATAAAGGCCGACCTGCTTCGCCGCTTGTGAGTAGTTGATCGACGGCCGACGCTCCGTGTTATCAGTCCAAAACTGCCACTGTAATCGAAATTTCCGTTTACCGGGCACAGGTTCGCCCAAATAAACAGTTAAATTCCAACGCAAAATCTCCTGTCTTCGGCCACGTCACGACCCCGTGACATCTGGTGGAGGTGCTGCTTCTTTGATGTTCCGAACGCCCCTTTCAAGCCGCGACCCCAGCCCAAGCGGCAAAGAAGACACGGACGCTAACCCTGAACAGCGAACAAGCCGCAGGCAGAGGGGACTACAACCAGAGTATGGGCCCCTTCCTGAAGCAGCCAGGCAGACCCGGAGATCCCGACATCAACTACTGCAACCATGACCGTCCCCGTGCAGCCTGCACCACTCCTGCTCCGGCAACCCAAAGAGCCGCCAACTTTCCGCGGTTTGCCACTGGAAGACCCAGAAAGCTGAATCGAAAGGTTCAACCGCGTCACCGCCTTCAAGGACTGGACAGACGATGACAAGCTATGACATGTGTATTTCGCCTTAGAAGATGCTGCTCGGACCTGGTTCGAGAATCAAGAGCGAAGCCTTACAACGTGGGACGTCTTTCGTGCCAGGTTCCTCACCACTTTTGCAACTGTGGTGCGCAAGGAAAAGGCCGCAGCTCTTCTCGAAACCTGCGTACAGTTACCAAACGAAAACGTGACGCTATTCACGGAAGATTTGATTGAACTTTTCCTCCACGCTGACTCCGACATGTCCGAGGAGAAGAAGGTCTGTCTGCTCATGCTAGGAGTAAAGCAGGAACTCTTCGCCGGGCTGATCAAAAACCCACCAAAGACGGTTGCTGAATTCATTTCAGAAGCGTCTACGATAGAGAAGACGCTCGAGATGCGCACGCGGCAATATAACCGTAGCTTCTCGTCTACAAGCTACGCCGGCATTCAAGGGCTTGGAATCACTGACTTGCGTGAAACGATCCGAGCGATTCTGCAAGAAGAGCTGTGAAAATTACTTCCTTCAGCGCAGCCTCACGTGGAATCCATCGCGGGTGTCGTACGCCAGGAGATCCAGCAATCGCTGGGCGTTCCTCTGTCTCAAGAGCCTCAGCTGCAAGCCATGAGCTATGCTGCTGCAGACCGCCGCCACGCCCCTCCTCGACGCTGTCACAAAACGAGCGCTCAAAAAAGGGCGCGCCGCCAAATTCTCGCGATAAAGCGCGGGAGAGACGCCGCGAGGTCAACGAAAAAAAAAAGGAAAGAAGCATCCAAGGACTCCCCGGGCGCGCGACCCTCTCCTCTCGGAAGCGTGGATTCACCGACGGGCCTCCCAACATCGGCGGCCGAGCAAGCACTCGAAATTTCTAGATGGAAAGGGGCATGGTGATGCCGGGTTGAGTCATCCGTCGCGGACGGCCTTCGAACCGTATCGCCCTCTCCCCAGCCTTCGCTGCGTATCACGCCAACGAAATGATGAGAACTTTCTGGAATCTCGCACGGAAGGTATTCAATCGAGCAGCCAAGATGAGAGATCAGGAGAAGACGGAAGTTAGCGCCAGAGCGCGTAGGAATTCCGCCGTGTAGTCGGCGAAGGTTTTGTGCGTAGTGACAAAGCAGGAGAAGAAGAGGATTTCCACCTGAGGGGTGAAGGCTCGAGCTACAGGAAAGAGCGCGTGTCTACCGCTATCGAGCGAAGACGCGTGGCTACGGCTGCGTGTGTGAAGCCGACGTGTTTCCGGCGAAGAAGTTTGAAGCTTGGAGAGAGGCCAGTTGAAGACGCGGGGTTTCCTGGAAGAGAAACTTCAGGGGCAGCGGAACGACAACAACGCTGGACTTTGAGTGAGTGATTCTCGGAAGAGTATCATCCAGACTTTTTTTCCAAGAACTTTGGACTGAATAGGTTTTCTATCTCTTTAGTCTTTAAGTGTCTTGGTTGTTCAATGCATGCGACTGCATTGTAGTGCGTATCGTTGTTGTGTCCGTTGTTTCGAGTGTGGCTGATTGTACTGTGTAGTACGTTGTTTGTTTGGTGACATATTGTACTAAACTATTGTGGAGTGTGCATACTTGTGTGTTGTTTTGATCTGCCATTATTGAGAATATAATTTCGTTTGTTTATCAACTCTCGGCTCTGACTTGTTCTTTGGGCCACAGCCGGCGTCCGCTGGCGCGCCGAAAAGGACCACTTCTAAATTGTCCATGCTTTCGTGGTGCGGTTCGGGGGGCCGATACTTCGGCCCTTGGAATTAGCCCGGCGATCGCCTCCCGAATTTACGGGACCTGTGTGTGACACCCGTCCTAGATGCGCTATACCTCAGATACTGTGAATAACCAACAAACCCGCCGTGCAACTTTAGGAGCAGAGAAACGCTCTAAGCTGTCACATTCATGGCTCTCTCGTATGATCGAACCTGTGTTCCAGGTGCATCCGCAGGATCGCCCTCCCGGTGGCACCGACCATTCCCAGCTGTGGGCACCCGAGGATGCGTGCAACCATGCGGCCTGGATCACGAATCTGGTCTGCACACTGGTTCGGTGCTGTAATGACCCTGTCTTGTGGGCTCTGCTGCCTCTCTGCACAATGGCGGTTAGTGGGCCTTTTTGCATGGCAAGGGTAGTGTGACTATGTGAATATGTCTATTTGTAGAAATTTGTCCTGTGTGTGGTTGTAAAAAATGAAGAGGTGTAGCACTCAGACATAACTGATAGAATTTTGCCTACCAGACTAACCCGTCGTGGTGTCTTGGTTCTCTGATAATGATGCCATTCCGAAGCTGTCTCATTCCTGTATTTTTATGCACAAAACACCTGTAGCCTACAGTTTTTTTTTCTTGGCGATAGTCCAACAAATATTTTTTTTTTTTTGATGAAGGGAGAAGCCACCTCAGTTTTTTTGGCACAAAAACTAACGCGAATTCGTTTTGGGTTTGCTTTCATGCGATTTTACAGCGAAGCTTTTGACATGTGGCATGGAAATATTTTTTATGTTGAATTCTTATCATGGAGAAGCTAGACCAAGGGGCTTGGCTCATTCAACATAACACCAACCTAGCACTGCTCTGTGCAACACCCGTGGTTTCAATGGCAAGCCTCAGGGGGAGATTGGGTGCAATAGCTTTGCATAATGGCCACTTCTGCTGTGCACTGGACCTGCATTTCTTTTGGCTTTACGTGAGTAGAGGACATTCCAAAAAAGACTTTACCATCAATTGTGGTTGACAAATTCCTGGTTTGGAAAAATTGATTTTTTCAAACGTTAAAGAACTTTTTTTTCCTTTTTCGTACTGTCCAATTATTATAATGATTTCCCAACAGCTTCATGTAAAAAGAAATACTTCAGGGACTGTAGTTTGTGTAAAAGGTCGGTTATGAAATTCAATATAACCAAGTAAATTTTCGGTTTTGCCGGCTTCATTGTTGAGGCTTAACAGTATGAGGAGTTATCTGCTGCGAGTCTGACTTTGTTCTATTAAGGGTAGAGTGTATGTCTTAATTGTAAGTAGGGGTTGAAGAATTTTAAGATAGTTCTTTATATCACATGGACGTTTCTGCAAGGTGGATCTGTGTGAGCTGCTGTTGCCGCTGGTGGTGGAGACTCTAGCAGACGATGGCACCCACTGGAATGCGGTGGTGGCGGGCATGGCCACCTTTCTGCAGTGCCATGCTCAGCTCAAGGACGATGCCCCCCAGAAGAGCCAGTCGACTGGGGTCTCAGAGCCAAGTATGTTCATGCAATATGTCTCTGCTGTTTTCACACTTACTTGCTAGCCAGTTGAACTTGCAGCCAGTTGAAGTAAAAGCTTTATGTAATTAGAGACTCTGCTCCAATCTGTACTGTCATCAATGAATTGACAACTCCAGCAGCTCAGTGTGCACCGCCATTTCCGATTCCTTGGAACCAGTCCTTGCAAGTCTTTTTTGAACATCTTGGACTCCAGACTACTCTTACACAACCGCTGAGGAAGTGATCTCAAACACTTCCTAGTTGTGACTGTCTAACTGTGCGTGGGGAACACTGACATTTGTATGTGCGTACCACCTGTTCCCTCTTTCCTCGTTGCTTTCTCTACAGGTGCAGCATGGTTGACCTCCCCACCAATATTTTGCTTCTCTCTCTTCCAGCAGTGAAATATTGATAATGCAAATATGTGATGCCAAATAATGGAGGCATTTAAAGGAAATTAAATTTACTTAGAGATATTATTTTTGCTTAAATGCTGTCACTGCTTCAAGTCTACACGGAGCAGCTTAACCGCCCAAGTTTTACAGTGATGGAAGTGCTGCGCCAATTGCGCCAAACTGCGCCAAGACAGAAATGCTGCTACATGCTGCGCCAAATGGCTGTTTTTCGCGTATATTGCGCCATGCCTGCGCCGAGGCCAACGTTTTGTGACGCTCGCCTCCACGGCCAATGGTTCCGAAACCGAAACAGGGCCGGAAAAGCAGCCAAGCCAAGCCTATCTTCAGCCACTGCTAGTCGTGTGCGAAGCGTTGGCTAGTGGCCAGAGAACGTCGCACCAGTCACACGTGCTGGGCGCATTGGCCGTTCCGGCAGGCAACGAAATGGCTTTTACGAGGAAAGGTAAGCCTTTCCACTACATTATGCTTGGCGGCGCCTTCCTCCTCTTTTCTCCGGGGGAACGCGTTTTCGTTCAAAGAGCGCGCCCCTCCGCGGGCGCTCTCCCCTCCTCTCTCGCCTCTCTTCGAGGAAGAGAACGCATGCATCCTTTCCCCCTCCGAGCTAAACTCGTTTCCTTCGCTAGCCCCGCCGCCGGCGTGCGTTTTCTGGTCTGCTGCGCGCGTGACCGCTGCGACGCGCGCGCAATTCAAACCACTCGCTGGCAGGCAGCCAGCGGGCACACGCTTGCCACGTGTTCCTCGCGCGCGCCGATCGTCTTCGGCGCGCCGCGGGGGCGTGGCACAACCGCTCGCTTTGAGCGGGGACCATGGGGGTCTTCGACCTCCGGTCACGATGGAGAGGCCACAGCTCCGTGGGCCCTGACCTCGTCAGCGGCACTGAAGAGTGGCCCCCTTGTCATGAAAGGCACCGTCCATCTCGCGGCGTGGGGCCGCGAGATACGTCGCGTCCGCACGGTGCTCTGGGCGTCGTGCGGAGGCGGCACCCTTGTCCGGGTAGGGCCGTTCAACCGAAACAATATAAGACCCGTCCTCTTCCCAGGGGCGGGACCGTTACCGGGTTGAACGTAATTGGATGATGAAGGGTTGATGAGTGACATGTACTCTGGGACGAGGCGCTTTCGAGAGCCAACTCCTCTTCCTTTCTGACAACGGTAGGTAAGCCTGTGACATGTGTCGTTGACGCCTGTTTTGTGTTGGCTGATGTGGATATAATGCTTGAAAAGTTAAAGTTGAAGTGTTCGAGCCTCCGATTGTTATTCTTTGTAAAACCCTTGATATATTATTGTGCTGTTAAACCTACTGTTTATTGTCGCGTTTTTGACGCACATTTCGTGCTGTTTTTGGGCGCATTTGCTTTGGATGTTCTCTGCTGTGACACCAGTAGCCCCTAAAAGTACCGGAATTATTGAGGGGCTCGTCTTTTCTTTGTTCGACATAAGTCCTATTTTTATATCGCACATTATTAGCTCTGAACTGACGTGAACAAAAATATAAAATGCACGAGTGCCAATAGGTGCATTTATTAGCAAGTTATTCGTGGAGACTTGTATTGCGGGATCACAGCTCATTATTTTACATTGTTTGTTTGCGATTTGTAACTGCCTCCACGCAGCACGGTTCAGCGCAGTAGCGGCAGTAGTTCGTACGAAGTGACCGTGCGGCATCAGCAGCCACGTGTTATGTATTTATTGATGTGCGCATGAAGTTAATATCGTGTAACCTTGATATGGGCCATATCGCGCTTATCTGTACTGACTGAACTCATAATATATCGAATTTTGGATTTTTTAAAATTGGTCGGTAGCATATGAAACGCGGTTGTGAAAATTAACAGCGCGCCTGTCGCCGTAGATTTTTATATAATCATAGCATTGTATAATGATATTACCGCGCCTGGCGATACCTATTTCAATTATTCTTTGTGCTATAGTGTGGCAGCGCATCACCAAGCAGGGAACACCAGAGCTTGAAATCAGTCGAATATCCGAGTGGGCAATTGACTTTTAAAGTACATCGGTCGCGGCGGAGCGGTGTGCACGGAGAAGCCAAACGAGAACGCAGCGGGGTTTGATGTCGGTCGGAATTGCGCCTCCTAATATGTAAGCAGTCGCGCGCACTTGTACCAGGCAGGACTGAGCGCGAGCGTCTGAGGGTAGTGGGACGTAATCAGGCGCAACATGCCCGACTTTCCGTTTGCGGAGAGGCGCCTTTATACTCTAAAATAGCCAAAGACTTAGACTCTAAAGACTTAGACTCTAAAAGACTTAGACTCTAAAATAGCCAAGGAGTTCCAGTGTGGTAGGAAGAAGCTATCATACATAATTTCAGATGGCCTAGGTCCATATTTACGAAGGCAGTCACAGATGAACTGAACAGGCCACACACATATTATACAATTCAGATCGACGAAACACCGCTCCCAGAGCAACGCCGCCAGCAGCTGGACGTGATGGCCAGATATTTTTCTGATACACAAAGCGTGTTGTTGTTGAGCATTTGCGCTCTTATCACTTGGGCTCTGCAACAACAGAAATCTTGCTGGCACATGTCAAAGAAGCCCTGCAAGATACAATACAATACGACAACAATACAATACGACAACGCTGGACTTTGAGTGAGTGATTCTCGGAGGAGTATCATTCAGTCTTTTGTTCCAAGGACTTTGGACTGAATAAGTTTTCGAACTCTTTAGTCTTTAAGTGTCTTGGTTGTTCGATGCATGCGACTGCATTGTAGTGCGTATTGTTGTCTGTGTCCGTTGTTTCGAGTGTGGCTGATTGTACTGTGTAGTACGTTGTTTGATTGGTGACATATTGTACTCAACTATTGTGGAGTGTGCATACTTGTGTATTGTTTTCGATCTGCCATTATTGAGAATATAATTTTGTTTGTTTATCAACTCTCGGCTCTGACTTGTTCTTTGGGCCACAGCCGGCGTCCGCTGGCGCGCCAAAAAGGACCACTTCTAAATTGTCTACGCTTTCGTGGTGCGGTTCAGGGGGCCGATACTTCGGCCCTTGGAATTAGCCCGGCGATCGCCTCCCGAATTAACGGGACCTGTGACAGACGCACACGCCAAAACACTGCCCCAACCCACTTACGTCGCCAGACGCCACCCCCCCCACCGACGTCATACCGTTCGCTAGCGGCCCAGCGCAGTGCACCGAGGAAGACTGACGTCTGGCGCATTCCTGACCATTGCCCGCTCTGCTATCACTGCGGCGAGGCCGGACACACATACCGTCGTTGCCAGTACCGACAGATGTGACTGCGTGGCTTCGCCGTCAATGTACCGAGTCCACAGCCAGGAGAACGACCACGTGACATCGCTGACTACCTGACAGGAACTCAGTGGACACCACGAAGCCCTTCGCGTTCGCCGTCGCCCAGCCGCCGCACGTCACCGCACCACCGGCAGTACTCTGGCCCAACGCAAGGCCGGTCTCCTAGCCCGTATCCGGGAAACTAAGGGCAGCAACCGATGGAGGTGCGGTTGCTCTGCGACGAACTACCAAAAATCCTCCGACGACAATGACGACGCGACGGAGCTTTCTGAGCACACCGCCAACCAGGCAAAGCCCTGATGGTGAAACCTCACTTACCGAAGGTGACCTGACGACACAACATGGAAGCAGCGGAACAAGTCGACACAGCCATGACCCGACGCCACGCCCTAACTGTAATGCGAGACGGCGAACTAGCGACCTCGACGTTCTTATCGACGGCCACGGTGTGACCGTTCTCTTCGATACTGGAGCCGACTACTCTGTCATCAGTGGGTCGTTCGCCGCGAAGTTAAAGAAAATTAGGACAGCTTGGGAAGGCCCTGAAATCTGCACAGCCGAAGGTCATCTCGTAACACCTGCAGGAATCTGCACAGCGAGAGTCACCATTAACGGCCGTATTTATCCTACAGACTTCGTAGTCTTACAGCATTGCTCGAGAGCTGTCATCGTTGACATGGACTTCTTATGCCTCCATGGTGCTGTCATCAACCTAAAAACAAAGTCGATAACGTTATCCACAGAAGAAGCACTACCACCACGCACGCCGTCAGGAAACCATGCCTTGTGTGTGCTAGAAGAACAAGTCACAATTCCGCATCGCTCAAGCGTCATTATTTTAGTTGGCGCTCCTAAATCACCTGTCTTGGAAGGCGTTGTTGAAGGCAGTCAGCATCTGTTGGTCCCCCGAAATATTTGCGTCGCAAGAGGAATTGCATAGCTGCGGAGAGGCAAAGCAACGGTTATGCTCACGAATTTCAGCAATGAGTACAAACATGTGAACAAAAGAACAACGGCCGCATACATCGAAGAAATTGTCGAAGCCACCAGTGCTTTCGCCCTCGCCGATTCTGCGGAACCTGCTCAGAGGAACGAAGCCCCTCCCATAGCTTTCGATGTCAATCCCGGACTTCCGAAGCGAAAGCCAGAACAGCTGAAGGCCCTGCTCCTGCAATACGAAGATCGCTTTTCGTCATCATCAAAAATTCGGCAGACTCCAATCACGAAACATCGCATGATAACCGAAGAAAATGCCAGACCACTCTGTCAGAGTCCTTACTGGGTTTCGACACGAGAACGTGAGGCCATGAAGAGACAAGTTGATGAAATGCTGCGGGATGACATTATCCAGCTGTCCAAGAGTCCATGGGCATCCCCCGTGGTGTTAGTGA